CATACACTGTTTGTAAACTAGTGTTTGACTGTTACGTTTCAATAGAGCAATGATGATTTGAAGTCTGCGACACTTATAAGTTCAATATTAGTTTATTATCAGCTGTAMAATGTATCTTGGGGGTGATCCAGAATTGCTTAGTTTATTTCATATCTCGCCTTGCTTCTGGAAAGGGCCAGATGAGGAACAATGGCAGCCTGCTGTCCTCGTAGTCCCAACGCCCTGAACATGCGGCCGCTACTTGCGCTAGTGTGCGCTGCCAACCCCGCCAAAGACGCCACTCACTCACTTGTACGATAGCGTATTTAGTTACGGAACTCGGTATCTTATACGATATCAGCAGTAGCACAGCCTTGGCCAGGGATCATGCGGATCCTTCGTGCCGAGATTCATAGCCCTATCAGGCTACGTCCGGCAGATAGGCTGTCACACGGAAGCTTGCATCCGCTGTTTAGCGGGCTGAGCAACTTAGCCAAACTGGGAAAGGTGGTAGAATTTGAGTGCACCAACCTAGAAGTGCCCCTGAAACACGATTCAGTCTCCGCCTTTACAAGATAAGCATCTCCGCGTGGTTATTGAGATCATCTTTTCTTGCCGAATACCTGGTAGCTTTGCGCTATGCTTTTCCACATTTTTAGAGATGATCTTCTATTGGTAATGTGTGGTTCAATAAACTCGGTCTCCTTTTTGTTGCGAGGGCGTTCTCAAGCAGTTTCAAGTTTTATGTAACTTACCGGTTAAACACAACCGTTGGTCACTTTCTATAAAGACACGTATACAAGAACCAGCTATCTAGTTCAGGTAGGTTACATGCCTCTAATTTGTAGAGGCTGATACTCATCCGGGGAAATCCGTCTCTAAAGCTTGGACTTAAATCTGTTACAACGGACGGTGCCTCTGGTTCAACAACCGGAGTTGAGCCTTATCAATCGGCAAGTCCCGTGTTTTTGCATGCCTACCTTCAGRAGCTTTGACCTCATGATCTCCATAATTAGTTTCTAAGGAGTTCTATAACAGAGTAGACAGCTACAACGGCTACTTCGGATAGCCCTTGAAAATCGGTAAAACATTCCCTATGTATRTGTAATTATCCGCSGGAATATTTATGCCAAGATCTGTTAAAGTCGAGCTTCGCTTCGAGTTGCCAACACTCAACCTCAGTGAGGAGAAGCTACACGATTAGCCACTCAGACCTAGTGACTCGTATGACATGGGTAGACGGGATAGTGCCTGCATTTGGGGCGCGTGTCAAGACAACTGCAGGTACTACTTGCCGGATATCCGCGGAAACTTGTCGGAGTCCAGTTCTGATAGAGAATCTCTCCAATTAACAACTTTATGAACRGAGAATCTGTGCCATAATGAAATTTTATGCTTGCAAGAAACACCACCAATSGCATATTCCATTTTACAGGTAGTCCCATAAGCTAGTGAAACAATCTCTTTGACCGTAGAGGCCATGCAAGGATCCTATCTTGGCGCACTAAGTCCGCATATCTTAATGTTGACGACATTGCGCATATGAAGCCCCTGAAGTTGTTGGGTTCCCGTGGTAGCCAGGCTCCATATTCTCTGTACCCTGCACGGCCTAACAACTTGCATCAGGCGTAGCCTGGCCTGTCGCGATAACTAGTATGTTTTCGGTTAGCGGAATGTGGGTAGGAATAACAAAGTTTAACCAAAAACACGTTCACGGGAGATTTCGGGACTAGGTAGGGATACAATTCCTTGGATTCCAAAGTGGAAGTAAATGTAAGATTTTAGCTCTCATTAGGTCTGAAAAGTTCTCTGAGAACTAATTGTACTAATTGTATGATGTATTGACTGACGATTGTCGATGGAAAACATTTCAGGGTAAGTAATCCAACGTCTCCATTCCTGGGCGTCCTTGAGCAATGTAGCAATCATCATTCGATCTGTTGACCGTGATGCCTCGCATGAYGAGCCAACAAAGTGAACGGGAACCGCCTGACGGCTGTGCCAGCCACACCACCTGAGTTGACTCTCTGTAGCCGTTTCTTGACCAGTTTGACGTTTTCTTGTGAGTCGAGGTCTCACAGCCGTGACTTCACAAATGCTCTGCAATACATGGCAGATATGAGTCATCAAGGAGATAGCTTTAGRAAACTGCCCCAATGAAGTGAAACGTAAAACCTTGGACAATATGTCAGCCACGAAGAGTTCAAGTCTGCGTTGCGTAATAGTGGTGCTGAACCCCATGCGAGGTATCATCGCAGTCGAATGCAAACGAGGGCACGGTTCTTCGATCGGAACTTGCACGATCAAAGGTCCTGGATGTTGAACTGCAAGATGCTCATGTATCACGTTATCCCAGGTGACGTCAATCCGGAAATAAATAAGCCCGTCTCCATCCCCTACTCTCATTTTCTCAAGCATCGGTGATTCGGGTAGCTCAGCATCTTGACTTGTCTTCTTGGACTGCGATGCGTCAGGCTTGGACCACAGGTGTACGACAGTATCACGTTGATCCTTGAGACAGAGGTTCCCGAGCGAGACAATGACTTTTTCTCGATCTAACCCAATCCCAGAATCACGTTTGTCGGCGATTGCCTGCACCGATACCGGTGAGGAATTGTCGGTTCTGAACGTCAACTTGACATTCTTTAGTATTAGCCTCTCCAGGAACCGAAAACAGGCCAACAGAGATTCAGGAAGGCYCATCCAATCCTTGACGTAGGTGTAAGCTGCCTTGGTTCCAGAGGCGAGCTGTACAAGGGCTTCTGGATCGTGTGATACGCCGAAGCCGAACGTACAGATGCTAATACCAGCGATATTTGCCCGG